CGCCGGAATTGTCCTTTAATCTAAGACACAAATGTGGCTGTATAAACACATTTGGTATAGTAGTCTAGGGAGGACCAGTAACTGAATAGGACCAAGAAAGGGGCCAGTACCATAATTCAGCACAACCCTACTTCTAATTCTTTTTCTGGTATTTTATCCTTTTAACAAGGACATTTTCAGTGTGTTCAGAGACACAGTTACACAGTTGTTTAAGAGTACCTCATCTGTCCTCAAATGCCATGGTCCAAAAACTGAACTTGCTAGAGGGGGGTTGGGGGTATCAGAGCATCAATATTATATAATATTATATAAATACTATATTATATAATATAGTATTTATTTTTAGACAATTATTTTCATCTTGAATTGAATGGAGAGCTGGAGGTCCAAAACGTAGGAAGCTATTGTGGATAATCACCTGTACTGCACCATCAACTTTCATTTAATCTCCTCTGTTGGAGTGAGTAGTTATTAGACAGGTTACACTGATAAAGAAGTGGTTTGAATAACGTGTTGTCCGAACACATTGGAAATTGTTTGCACTTGATCCCAATGGCCACAACGCCTGGAGAGAAAACCCGGCCAAGAGATTGTTACTGTTTAATAAGCAGGGTACTGGTGCCATCCAACCAGCACTTCTGAAGAAGCATAATGGCCCCATTAGCAAGCTCACAAGCACGAGCATTTTTCTCTTTACACTATTTACACTATACCATATCTTTTTACTGAATGATGTACAATACTGAGAACAAGAAGTTGGGTGGCATAAATGGCCGAATACAGAGAAAACAGAAGGAAGCTTAGCGAGCTAAAGTCACCGTAACTCCCGGATTCTGTTCTATATATTAGAAACCTCATTCAAAACACAATTGACATTTGTCATAACATAGCCTCACTAAACAGTATATAATGTGGTTCACAAGAGTCTAAAGATCATAAGTGGATGTCAATTTGTCTAAGAAAAGTGTTTCGGAAACCCCCAACGACATGCAGAATGAGATTACATTGAGTCACAGACACTGGTGAAACAGAGGCTTGCTCGGACTTCAGCTGTCTGTTGTGTCTGACTAGTAGTGCTAGTGTGTTAGCTGTTAGTTCGCCAACTAGGGTAGTTCATCACCTCAAGTAATCACTGCTGCATGTCTCCCAAACTTGTAAAACTACATATTTAATATAAATAATACATTTGCCATTTGCTGATGTGACGTGTGTGTGTGTGTATATGTGTACATATATACACATATACATATATTGATTCCTCATGTCTCCACCCATATGGTCCTCGTCGACGTGCAACAAATCACACACACACCAAAGGGATTCAAGGCGAAATTCATCCATCCTCCCTGTGACAATCAGGCAGCAGTCTTTTGCCAGTCTGTGTCAGATCTGCCCCCACTCTGACACCCTTCATCAAATGTGGAAGACGGAAGGCTGAGGGGACACATGATGTATTATCATGAGCTGCTGGGCTGCAGGTGCTACCCAGGGACTGATGGAGCTCCTGAGATGTGATAATCAGCCTAGATGAAAACTCCCCAGGCTCATTTTCTACCCCCTTCCTTCCTCCTCCCTTGTTTTCCCAACACCTTTCTCCCTCTCTCTTCCCTCCTGCTCAATTCTTGCCTCTCTCTCTCTCTCTCTCTCCTACTTATAAGATCTTGTTCCATATCTTTTCTCTTCTCACAGTATTTTCCCTCATGTCCCCTTCTACCAACTCCCTCTCTTTTACTTGTCTGCAGGCTCATCTCCTCTACTCTACTCCTCCTCTCTCCTCTCAGTCCTTCAATCTCTGGTAGAGTTTCATGTTGTCAATAATAGTTTGGATCTTCTGTCATTCTACTGCCATCATCTTGTTTTGTTGCTCTTTTTATTATTTCTAACTGCCCCTCAGTGCATTTGTTATGCAGCCTTTGCTGATAGCCAGGCACAGACATTGAATTAATGTGTAAATGCTGATCAGAGTCTTATGACTGAACTTCTCAATAACAGAAATGGTATTGCTTCTATCAATCTGCTTCAGGCAAGTGGCTCGGGGCTACATCAGCTGCTACTAGCATAACACACCTGGATCTCTGAACTTTCAAAGGGTGAGTTGCATTGGGGGTAATGAAGACCATCTTGTGAAGTTTTTCTTTTCCCAGGCTTTTTATGCCTTCATCTGACAGTACCTGCTTGAAGAAAGATGGAACAGGGCTCCCTGGTAGCTCACCTGGTAGAGCTAGCACCCCATGTACCAAGTCCTTTCTGCAGTGGCCTTGTGTGTCATCCCCTCACCCTAACCCTAAACCTGCTTTCCTTCAGCTGTCAAATCAAGGCAATAAAAGCCAAAAAACATTAAAATAAAAAATAAAGATAGGACGACACGCAGCAAAGGGCCCAAGGCCAGAATCGAACCCGAGCCATTATAGCAAGGACTCAGTGTTGGTATGTGGGATACATGCTCTACATTACCAGGTGAGCTACTAGGGCGCCCCATTGCATCTTTTTAATACTGGTGGTGTACTTAAAAGTTCAGTGTGTAACATTTGGGAGTATCGGCAGAAATTAAATAAATTAGTTGTTTAATTACCTTAAAATATGAATAACTGTGTTTACATTTCCTTGGAATGACACATTTGTATCTACAGAGTGAGCGGGTCCTCTTTCATGGAGTACGACATGTTGAACCGCCGCTTTTCTACAGAAGCCCACAACGGACAAACCAAACACTGGTTGTAGATAGGGCCTTTTGAATTTTTTGAGTTTCACAGCCACCATAGTTTCTCCTACACAATTGGAAGGCTGAGCTGTATTCAGATGGTTGCAATCTGCAATTTCTCCTTGAAGCGTTCAGTTCTCTGCTCACTCTTTCGCTGTCTGCTGCCACACTGCTCACCTGTATAGCAATTGAGTTTTAGTCCACCTTCCATACCAGCATGAGTTTACGTTCTCGGTGGGAATTTATTATAGCCACTCCACACTCCCTGCTGTGGTGAGTTTCCTTGTGGTGAATAATAAGGTCTGAGGTAGAGGTACCATATTCAATCTAATCTGTTAGTTGGCCAACGTTGTCATACTTTTCACTGCCATACAACCTGATTATATTAGTATCTATATACTATACTTAATAGGCTGAAATAATTTTTACTTGGATTGGATTTTTATTCTCGTTTAAAAACCTCTTTAAAATGCTTAATAATATAATAACATTACAGTCTGTTTGAATCTAATGGCACTTATTAAAGACTGGTTAGTCCACATTATTGATTTGATTAGGAGAATCTCATTGTAAAGCCATTTCAGAGGAAATGCACATGTTTCTAAATCATCAAAATACTGATGAATTATATTTTGCCATATGGTGCTCTAACACTTTACTATGAACGTTAATCTAGATAATAACACATTGGGTTTTGTACTTTTACTTCCAGTAATCCCCACTTTCAGAGCAAAGTGTTTAATATGGAGTAAGAATATAAAGGTGGGAAGACATGAAGAGAAGCACAGATGGTGCTACCTGGAGGTTCTGGCTCCTCTGAAAGACTTCAGACGTTTACTCGCTGAATCTCTCTCCACTGGTTTGGAAAATGACAGGAACCAGCTGCAGTGCAGGGCTGAGCTTCCCAAAGGCTGACAGCGGACCTGATTATTATGACCTTTTATTAAAAATCATACATTGGCTGTGGTTTATCTCTCATAAGATTGGAGGTTCTGCCTGATCCAGTGGTTGGGGGAGCTTATTTCTGTATATAGTATCTGCCCATCATTCCAGTCCATAAAACCTGCAATAAAATTTCCCTCACCATGTCCTAATGAGGTCCTGGCTTTCAGTCGAGACATTTTCTGTCCAAAGGTGGTCTGAACTCAGTTTTAGTGACTTTTCTGTCTCGAAATAACACTATTCTAGCCAAAACACTGAATACTCTGGGGTAATAAATTGACCAAATGTAATTCTATCAAACATTAACACAAAATGTATAAGCAGCTCAAAGAACCATGCTGCTGGTTTTGCATGATTCAGCTATTTCACTGCATATCCACAGTACTTAACATTGTATAGACCATGCTGCTGTGAATGAATGTGTCATGGTTTCCCAGGCAGCCATTGGTTTTCATTTATTTAAATATCAATTAGACTCAACGTGCTTGAGATGTTTAATCCATTTCTGTGAACATTAAGTCTGCATTAATCTTTGGAAATGTTATATTATAACAAAGTGAATCAATGTGCTCCTAAAGTACCAGTGTGTAGGATTTAGTGGTATCTAGTGGTATTGTTGCAGATTACCACCCACTTGCCTCACCCTCGCTTTCCAAGTGTGTGGCTGCAATGCAAAGGGCCCTATCAAGAGCCAGGGTTTGGTTTGTCCGTTCTGGGCTACTGTGGAAACAAAGCGGATGTCCTTTTTTCCATGTAATTGTTGCTTTTCTATTTCATTATATAAAATGTTGATCAATAAGTCAAGATCAAATTTCATCTTGTAGTCACACATAGTGAGTCTCTTGGTACTAAAGGCCCATGAAGGCAGCTCAGCTGTTTATTATGCATGCAGTGTGCTCTGTCTGAAGGACCACTGCAGAACAAGACATGGTTTTATCTGACACCAGCGACACACTCAGCCTCTGTTGTTTTTCGCCTGTTTAAACACACATACACACACTGAGCCTCCTGTGCTTGCAGTTTCTTCCTCGTCCTCCTCTCTCATCTCTGTGCACCCTTACTCACAGGTCAGGATTCACAAAGACAGAGAGTGGCACATCTACAAAGTAAATTGTTGTTTGGTGTATTCCCTTTCTGCGCTTTATGTGCCAGATGCTTGTTTCCATCCCATAGTTGCAACTGTTGTTTGATCTGGAGAAAAAAAAATAATTCCACACGCTCAGTTGTGCACCTTTGTTTCCTTTGTTGCTTGAAATGAACACAAACCCGATGTGGTGCATTGTATATCAATATTGTAATCTTTTTCTTTAATGGAACACATTAAAATTGATACCCGATTTTGGCAATAAGCACAGATAAAAACACCCACTGTACAGTAAATGTGACTCCACAAATGGCAGGTAACAATGGCAGCAGTAACAGATACACAGTCACCTCAGAGCAGTACTTGCATTGAAAAGATACACAAGATTAACTAATTTTTTTTTCTTTTCAAATGGCAAAAGCATGGTTGAATTGAAGAAACAGAGGTATTTAAAATGCTGTCTCAACCTAGATATCATTCAGGAATAAGTAAGCATGATAGAAACAAGCAAAACATCAATACAGTATAGAACTCAGACTGGCACACATGGCTGTGTCTGAAATGTGCCTGATGACTACGCAGTGTATGTTTCAGATTTATATCTCTTAATCATGTTCGGTATTCACATATGTTCACATATGGCACAGTATCAGTTAGCTCTGTATTCCAGCACTTTGGATTTCAAATGAAACGCTGACTGCGAGGTTCAAATGCTGACTTTTAGCTTTAAGGGTGTTTGAGGGATTAAAAATAAAATCTTGGGGGAACAGTAGGAATTGTATATCTGTACCTTTGGGGTGTATGCATTCAAAGAGCTACAATGTCTCCATGGTTGATCGGATGTGAATGTAATCACCCTCAAATAAAGCTGAGAGTCAGCATTTTAAAGGATAAGGCTGGGGTTCTCATTGTCAACAAATCCCCCAGAAGACCAAAATCAACAACGCATTAATCCTTCTTGCAATACTTTCTGACTTCTCTAACCTGTCTGGGGCACTCAGTCAGCCCCGAGCTGATTTGTTCCAACTAAAAAAGTAAATCCTTAAATTCTGGTCAAAAATATATAGTTTACTTCTTTTAAAAAGCCTCAGTAAGCCTAGTAGTAAGATAAACTTCAGTTTGTGTGTTTATTGTAATAAAGGAGAAGGTCACATTGATGTGTGTTTTTAATTCATTGTTGGTTTTGGCTTTTTTAAAATATAATTTGTGTAGCATTGGTCGTAACTTCTGAATCACCGCCTCGGCTGGAGAAGTACTATAGTGTGCTTTCTCCGTGGACCCAAAGATTCAGGTTTTTCATGCGATGTGTGACCAACTTCTCATTTAACTGGGTGCCATATGTTACCCATGTCTTGTAATACATCCATGCTAGCTAGCTGCCGATCTGTATCTATTAAAAATAGTTATGGAAGAAATGTTATCCTTCCATTTCTGTTAATAGATCCTCCTAAATGTTGCTGGATCTTTTAATACATTTTTTTAAAATCTTCCTGAAAGCTTCTGTGTCAACGTGACGTCAGCAGGAGATGCATTACCCACTAATGACTGTAACCCACCTCCAAACAAGAAAACAGGTAACAAGAACATGAATTCAGGCTGAGACAAAATGGCTAATTGTTGGGATTTGTTGACAATAAAGAAAATATAAAATATAGCGTGCCTCATCCTTAAACATACATTTTTATTTCATATTCTTACAGGACTGCAGAGCAAAAACACAAACTGTAACATGGCAAACCCAGTAGGGCTGTTAAATGCCACTGCACTGAGGCTAAAGTAAGGCTAATGCAAGCTGATGCTATTAAATAAATAAAACTAGAGGCTCACCCTGCCTGGAACCAAATTTCCCATATGTGGTAGATTCAGTAAAAGCAGTAATATTAATTTCAGACACAGTCAATTGCAGGGTGATGGAGAGGTATATGACCATCTGTATTGGCACACACAATGGAGATGTATCTCCATGGCACAAAGTCGGAATCGTTCCCCAGAGTCCAATCCCTTTTCCTCAAAGTACTCACAGTCCCATGTTCTGTACAGTACATCTTTCTATAGATTTATGAATTTCACAACACAACACAGATACAGACATTTCTATATCATGGTAAACAAAATGTCACATTCAAAAGTACAGCAGATTCACAAAAGAGACCACTGGAAAGGTTGGCATTTGTGCAAGATAAAGAAAACCAAAGAGTACTTTTCACAAAGCAACAATACTGAGCCGCTGAACTGCAGCAACACACATCTTTACATCGATTATATATTGCAGAGGTTGTTCTTCGCTGCTCTTTAGTTCATATTTGCCGGGTGCTGTGGTTTTGACCCTTGCAACTAAGATAATTACTCTTTTTATACTGATGCACATGATGCCATTTACTTTGGATGGAGCATCATTTGTGCACACATTCTTATAAATTACATATATTTTTCTCAATGAAGTGCACTGTGAGTCATCAGTGAATGTTAAACGCTAGCCACGTGTGGCACTCTCAAAACTACTTAGGTCACTGTGCAGATAAGTGCACCAATCTGTTCACACAAGCATGCATCCATGTCACTGGCAAAAATATGTGTGTGTGTGTGTGTATGCTTCTGTGTGTGTTCGGCTGGTTGCCCTCTCCACTTCTCTGCTGTAATTAACATGATTGGAGAGTGAGTGATGGATAGAAACACAGGAAGAGATGGTGCTGATGAGGCTATTCACCCCGCTGTGTAGCCTGCCTGGCGCCTCTCCTCAGCAACAAGCTGGCATCTTTTGTCTCCAACGCTACAGCGCTCATCAGCGAGGGCTGTGAGTGTGTGTCTGTGTATTAGAGAGGCAGAGAGAAAGAGAGAGCCTGCCGTACGCTCATTTAAGGAGCACTCGCTGAACAAAGTTGATTACACATTCATTAAAGCCGCAGCCTCTCGTTCAAACGCTCCACTTGACCCGTCCAAGTGATGGGCGTTTGAGGGGAACATACTCTGCATTCAGGACGCAGGGTGTGGATTATCCCTGGCTTGCTGGCTATGATTAGGGAACTGCGGTCAAATTAAAAATAAATAAATAAAAAGATTCTGAGATGATAAGATGTGTGTTTGGAGTGTACGTTCAGAGTGCTCACTCCACTTCTACATTCCTCTCACTGGCTCAGACAGCTGATACATTTTAATGGATACTCTGGATACATTATATAATAATAGGCCGGTCATTTACCCCTTTAATTAAATTGAGAGGGGGTTGGCTGGGATTCACATTCTATATGATGTTTTTACATTGCACTAACAAACCAAATCAATCAGATTCATTTCTCTTTGACATGGTTGGTTACCCTGTTTGTGTGGCTTAATCACATTCTCTGCCCACAGGTTAAAAAGAAATTAAAAAAAAGGACACTTAAAGTAAACACACAATTATTTGTATTACTATCCTTTTTTTCAATTACAGTAATTACAATTGACCTGACTTTGTTATTCCACAGGTGAAGGTTCTGTGAAAAATCCAAATTTGAACCACTTTAGGAACCTGTCTCCTACATGAAATTTAGTTAATAGTTAATTAATTAGTTAGTTAATTTGGAGTTTGGTTTGTGTAATCTTGGCTTTTTTTAAAAAAAAAGGACCAGTGCATAGGATTTTGTAGCATCTAGTAGTGAGTTTGTAGAACCAACTGAAACCGCTCACCTCAACTGAATGTCAAAGTATATAGGAGAAACTACAGTGGTAAACCCGCTCCCTACTCATTCCATTTCTGCCAATAGATCCTCCTGAATGTTACATGCTGGACCTTTAGATCTAGTTTTACCTTTTCAGTCCTCTAATAATTATTTAAATGAAACACTGACAAAGTCAAAGTCAAAAAAGGTAAAAAAAAATCCCTCTTGAAATGAACAGCTCAAAGCTCAGACGTCATGTGACGATAGATCACACAAGGACATCACTTTCTATTAAGGTTTCACACATAGGTTGGAAACCACCAGTTAGTTACCACCATTCAGTCATTACCAGACCCCAGCAGGGCCGAGCTCCAACTGCAGCCATTTCCACTGGCTGTGAGCACAGCAGGAGTGCACTCAGTGTTGTGGCTGGATGGGTGCAGGTTGTGTGCCAAAACAAACCTAAGATAGCAGCTGACATGAATGAGGTAAAGGTTTTGTAACACTTTAGCAGCCATGTAAACCTAATGGTTTATGTAAGCTCTGCAGTTAGCTACATAGGAATGTGGTGGCATTCATTTCATGACTGACTGCTGCCGTGGCTGTCACTGTGACAAGCTGTGGTTGTAGCTTTACTGGGACTGTTCACATGGCTATAGATGTGGGCATTGCTGGAATTATGGCTATGGCTGTGGCTGTTAAGATTAGCAAGGCTGTGAAACATAATTTTTTTTAATGTTGCAACACTAATAAACTGGTGAAGCTAGAGACAACAACAATCTCATTTGCACTCTTGTACACTTACAATATGAGATAATTTACTTGGAGGATTATATGCAGACATGGAACATTTCCTTATCCAGCTCACTGACTCCAAATCATCATATCAGGGCAGGAGGCATCAAGGGTGCAGGTCTCGTTCATACTGTAATCAGATAACTACATTCTAATGACATCAACCGCAATGCTCTCCCGGCTCACTTGCTCTGGGACTCTGAGGCTGAAATGTCCTGATACTGAGATGGTCTGTTGCCTTTCCTGCTCTCTTTTAATCCAGCATTTATTTCTAAAACATTATTTTAGACCAATTTACATCTTTGAATGCTCAAAAAATTTAATGTTTGGCTGGATTTTGGTTATTTAAAAGTCCTAACATACATAAACAACATTTTCAACCAAAGTTTCACAAATAGATTTCAGTTTTTCCCCCCTGTGCTCTCCTCACTGGTTTGACGTGGGTGGGGCTCAGTTCTGTGCACTAATCAGGATTTAGCAGTATTTCAATCAAACTGATGAGAGTTGTGGGTTGTTTGCTTATGTTGCCAGGGCACTGTCATTTAAATGTGATCATCCACACCCACATAGTCCCGATGATGCAAGTTTTTTATTTTCAGACTTGAATGATGCTTATTTCCTCATTCACATTTCATGCTATATAGAAATACTTATGATTTGAAGTTTAGGGGCTTTCATTCATACTAATCCACTGGCTAACACTTTAGCACACGCTATTCAGAGCTGTAGTAGGCTCGAAGACCACACTTGAACATAGCATACAAACTCTGCAGAGCTATAGTAGACACTTAAACACGTACCATATACTGTTGCATGGAAATGAGTCTAGTGTTAGCAAGAAGCCCAATATTGTCCAACACTTACACATATATAACACATGTACAAGTGTTGTGTCCATGCATTTCTAGACATCGTACCAGGACAGTCCCATTCCTTAAAATACAAACGAGAAATGAATCATTCTGCATACCGTTTGCAACCATCAGAATCCCAAAATCTATTTAAGGTCATTCAGTTGTCTAATTGTGCATTCAGGAGCTTGCCAACTGGCTGGGAATTTGGGAAATGAGAGCATGAGATTGGGTTATATTTGTCAGGTGTTTACTCTCTGGTTGTCACTGGTGAATACAAAATTAACTGGACCGTGGAATAAGCCACAGTGAGCTGTAATTGATGGAAAGCCGGCATAAACTCCACTGTTGTTCGTTCTTACTTGCATGTTGGTAATCAGTATTACCATTATTTACCACTTTGCTGGACTGTATTGAATGTCCTAAAAATGTGTGACTTTACAAATGTTAAATGACAGAGGCTGTTGGTTCAGTTTGGAATTCAGGTCCTTCCTGTGTGTTGTATATAATGGAAAGACACAGTTCGATGTCAGTTAAGCCAGGGTGACACATCTAAAATGAGTGAAAAATGTGCCTGTATCTGATGTAATTTGATTCATAAACATACAGAGACGAGAGGCTGGCATAAAAGAACAGAAATAACTGGAGTCTGTGTTCACTAAACTGAACACACTTGTCTTAACACAACTTTCACATATTTTATTTGTATTTATTTGTATAGGGACTGCTTTCCCTGCATTCTAAGACATCCGTGTGTTTCCATACTAACTGAAGGAGTGGGGTTCACTTTACCGTAAATGATTGCATGTCATCCAAAAACAAATCTGGCTATATCACTCACAGTAATATATTGGGTTAATGATATGTCAAATTATATCATTTTCAAAATGCACGAATCTTGAGGGCATAAACACTATCCTACCAAATGTGTATTATAATTGTAGTAAAAACATTTCAAAGTTGAAGTCCCAGACTATAACTCAACGTAATGTGTTAGCACACAGCATCAAAGCCTGAGATGTATGATTTTGATGTTCTCATCACTGAACTGATGACTTGGCCAAGACATGAATCTCCCAAATGTCCTGCAGGATGTACTACTTTTATATTCCAGCCTCTGTGAGTGTGACCTCCTGCTGTCCCTGCACCATGTTCATACTTTAGTGTTAGATATGTTTCCATGTCTCCAAGACAAAGTTTTGCCAGCTTTGCCTTTGATGAATACAGTGATATAATACTGATTGTCACTGTGATTCCAATAAAGTCATGTTGCCGCACATCTGTTCCTTGGTTTCATGTCAGCTGACACTGGAATTTATAACAACAGCTTTTGTGCGCTGAGAATAAATCAGGAGTCAGGAGGGCAACTGTGTGTGCGTATGTGTGAAAGTAGAATGATGGGTGTCAACAGGTGATCACTCTCCAAATGTGTGTGTGCATGTGTTGTGTATGCACGCTGCAAAGAATATCCATCTCGAAACATGATTTGAACACGACCAAGGGCTGATAATGTGATAATAATGTTGAATTAATTTCCAATGCATTACTAATGAAGAAATGTTTCTTTAAACTTAAATACTTCACTAAGACTTATTAAAGTGGATTTTTTCTTGTTTCTCACATTGTGTGTGTCTGTGTCTGATGAAGGAAGATTTAGTTATTACGCTCACTCCAGGATGTTTTTGGTAAAAAAAACTTCTGGCTTCCATTAATTAACTTGATTTCCTTTGAGAAATTATATATATAAAAATACATGCAACTATGCAAGTGAGTGTCTTGAAAGAAATCCACTGTGGTACTGACAGTTTGACAAGCTTAATATGTTTTCACTAATATCCCATGCCAAGCTTGTCATTTTTTACAGTGGTTTTATGTATCTGTGTGAGCGCGTGTGTATGTGTGTGCGTGTTTACCACTGTAGGAGGTTAAGACAGTTTGTCCCAGTAGGATTCCGCAGCCCATGTAACCTTCCTTTTTCCTGGACCCCAGCAGAGTGAGCTGCGTCTCTACTCCCCTCGCCCTTTTACAGACATTATGCTACGCAGCAAGGCACATCACTGCACATTAGAAAGCTACAGCTAACAGGCTGCTTGTGCACATTCTAGGCTGCAACGTCTACAAAGCCCTTTAAACCTGATATTAACATGCATCTTGTATGGCTGGATTACATTTGGATGGAGCGACAGCATATAAAATGTGGATATTTGAAAGTACAGATACCAAGAAAAATGAAACAATGAAACAGGCAACAAGAGATGTGTACTGTGTATGTGTATTGGAGATATATTTGTTTGGCATAAATATAATCCAGCCAAATCGCATTAAGACACAGAGTGCATGTTACTGCCAGGTGGAAGGGTAGAGCAGCTAATGAGAGTTACATAAATATTTCACAGTTTAAAAGTGGTGCCTTGCATTCAGATCATGACCTGGTGTCTGATAAAGGTGGAGCGGGTTACACAGACAGGGGAGAGTTATTATTGTGAACCTATTTATACAGTAGGAAACTGGAATGTTTCAGACGCTCTCCATTGCAGGTCGATCTTTATGCTACACGCCAGGACTGTTTAGACAGGGTTTAGTGTTGTCATGGCCGGAATTATCTGGGATTGAGGGTTTTAGTCAGTTTTCACTTGAGGATCACTATTGCCTCCTCACCATTTGAAGCACCTCTATGTTTCAGAGAAGATGCTCCCAGCTGTTGAAGACAGTGTTTAGCCAGATGAAAGTAGAACTAGATGCTGCCGGCGTTTCAGGTAATTGCCAGAACTTTTCAGCAACACCTGCAGGGGATCTTCAGAGCACTCCTTCAACCAGACTGGCACTCAACTTGCACATCCAATTGCTCAGGGGGTCCTGCTCAGGGAGATAGAGTTGGCATTCTGATCAGCAAACACATGAATGCCCACACTCAAACATGCAAAGTTCAGAGTTTATGCTTTGTTGTTTTTCTTCTGGGAGAGCCTTTCAACTGAAACCACACATCTGCCTTTGTTTTCAACGTGGACCTTCTGGGGGCAGAGTTCCTGTGGAAGCCAGGTTTTCTCCACTAGAGGTGTAGAGAACCTTCTGAAAACCCAAGGTCTCCAAGCTCGGTCTATTTTGCAGAGAACACCCCTAAAAAAACATTGTGTTCACAGCATGCTGGTCTCATGTTATAGCTCCGCTCCAAAATAGACTGTGTGAAGTCACACAGCTTGTGTGACTGCGGATGTGTGAACCTTCACTCCGCACTAAGAGATGGTTGGTGTGGCAAGTAGAGGCTGTGAAGATTGGATGCGCTAGCGTCTGCTTCTGTTTGGCTTTTGAACTGGAATGTGCTCATGTCGTCTAAGTGCTCATCATCAGTTTTTGGCACCGAGCAAACCTTTCTGGGAGTTAATCATTAGCTGTGAGTGGCATGAGTATTTTATACAAGGGCGTTGTGGGTGAAGACACCACTCAGTGACCAGGGACATTGTCTCACTTGCAAATTACCTAACATAACGTTCCAGTGAAAACACTGGAAATGTATTCATCAAAAACTCAAAGCCACAGTCACTGGCAGACAAACTCACACATTCACGCTGTACTTTTGCAGCAATACACGCAGGCAAAAGCAACAATCTGAACAGTCAACTCACTCACTCTCCCTTCTGTCTGGCAAAACGCCACCTGTGTTTGAGGTCTATTCTTGCAGGTTGTTACTGGAGTAGAAACTGGACGTCTCCGATACTGTTTTGGAGACGCTTCGGGATGATGACCCATTCGAGGTGAGGTCCAGTGAGGAGCCATGTGGTTTGGCCCCGACCACAGCCCCTCCAAGCCCTGGACCTGCTATCGCCTTGACCTTGGGCTGCTCCACGTCATCCCCAACCTGGAGAATAGTGGACACGGTGGTCTCCATCCGGCTGGCCTTGTAAACACTTGTCTGTGTCTGAAGGTAGCGAGTGGACTTGAGTTCCAGGCCTTCGTAGGAGCCTCGAGGGACACAGGGGCAGAAGTGGAAAGCTTGCTTAAAACCAGCACGAAACCTGTGCAAGAAAAGCAACAATTAGCCATACTTAGGTTGGTTTGGTTTGGTTTTAGTTTTAACTGAAACAGACTTAATTTAATACTGATGTTTCTATATGACCCATGTAAACAAAAAATACCATCAGCAAGAAGACTGGCTATTTCCATATAGTTAATCTTAATGCCTGCCACCAGGTCAGATTCAGCTGGATTCCCCTTAAAATTAATTAAACTAGGCGGTGGACAATATAACCAAGCATCCTCAGAGGCCACCAGAATGAGCACAAGTGACTTGTAGGGGCTTTAACTGACTGGTTCACCCACCAGTCTTGTGTATCTTTTGCTAAAGCCATTGTGGCGACAAGGGACAATTACAGGATATGGATAAATGCTAAAAAATAGCAGAACAGTAGCACAAGTAAAGTCAGCAAACTGACTCAGTTACATAATAATTTCCATTCTCAGTTTGCCTACATTAGCCATGTTAAGTTACTGGCATTACCAGACTAAGAAACACTGTAGAAGTGAAGTGTATTTAATTAATCAAGAGTGTGTTTTATTGGGAATTTGGTGAACATGGTGGTGCATTTAGCAGCTAAAGAGCCAGATATTTCTCTCCCTCCCTCAGTTGGTGGGAGGCTGAATAGCCTGTTAAAATTAAATTTGTGTGATGGACTGAGACTCCAAGTGAATGCTAATGTTGTTTCAGGATGTATAAATAAACAACTGCATGCTAACACATTAGCAACATCAGCTTTATAAGGAAATCAGTCTACAGCTTGTTGAGCTGCCCCTGAAGGCAAAAATGCAATTAATGTAGGTTTAAAGGGCACAGCTGTTGCAATCTGTATCTTATTCTTAAATAAGTCTAAAATTCCTTAACATCCAACAACAATGAAATCCTTACATTTTTGCACAAATCCTTTAGAAATTATAGTTGAAAAAAGAAAAACATTTTAAGACATTTATGGGACCCACTTAAGTGTTGGATTACTTTCAAAGAGCATATCAGAAAGCCCATGATATTAACTCTTCATTTGCTGACCAAAGGAAATACAACATCATGGGTCTCAACAACCACATCTTTAGTCAATGGCACATCAGGGATGAAGATCACAGATGAGGTCATGTGTATGGACATACTACTGTTTCTTTTATAAACTAGCTGAAAACTGATTTCAGAAACAGAATTTCTAAAGTAAGCGCAACAGTTGTTGGTGCTATGTTATTCAGTTAGATGATCACGTAATGCAGTTTACACAAATGCCAAATAGACAAAATCTCATGACAGTGATCCTAAACCAATTCATTATTTACATATTCAGCTGCAACAAAAACATTTTCCCACTTCACTCTATTAAAAGCAGCCAATTTGGAAATCTGACAAGATTTTTGTTTACTATACAGCTTGTTGTAGAGCCACAGTGACAGACAAGACTGACTGATACAGTGTTTGCATTCTGATTAGGATTGGCTAATAGGGAAAAAGCACAACTGTGTGTAACAAAAGCATTGTGATGTTAATTAAGACTAAGTGTTGCATGTGACATTTACTACTGACCTTTATTAAAACACTAAATTAGGCAGCACTTGCTGTTTGGCAGGTGTTCATTTAGATGCAAAAAATATTTTTCTGTGTTGTATATAAATGACAAAAAACACTGAAGGAAGAGATGATGGAAATAAGAATCGTGTGGATGAGATAAAGGCATCACAACGGGCTGGAATGGAAACACCTGAAAACATACACACACACACAAAGCCCAGACAGGGAGAGAAGTGAAGGGTGGAAAAGGGAAATGTCAATCGCTGAGAGCAGGAGAGAGATGAGGAGATTGATGGAAACTGAGAGGACACGCATTTGAATTTAAATCGGCTGAGCTGATAGAGACAAAAGCCGATTGATATCCTGTACAGAATGATGACTAAACCTCCGCTCACTGCGGTCCAACCCACATATTTTCATTTTTAGGACTTAATGAATTTCAGAGGCGAAAACACCCAAGTGTGAAATCTCATTTCTCCAACAGCACAAAGACAATTAATAGGTGGCCGCAATGGAAGACAATGGGAGATGATTGATTGAAGGACAACAAGCAGAGTTGACCATCTGTCTTTATTTTGCCAGACAGATTTTTTAATTCATTGACATTTTTGTTGACAGGCAGAATGCTAATTACGCCACAGTCTGAGAGTAAACTGTTCATGTTCACAGTGGGATTTAGCAACTTTCAGAGATGGGTTTTAAAGTTAGAAGTTTATTCTAACTTCATTCCATGTGTAGAATCTTTGAGGTTTCTTTCCAGACGAGCAATCTCAAAGTAAGCATAAGCAGTCTCTGCCGCGGCTGAGTTTTCAACTGCTTGTCACTAAGGCGGCAGTGTAGGATGGGATATTGCTATGCGATGAGTGTAGCTGACGGTGTGTGTGTGTGTGTGTGTGTCATTGGATGCAGTTTTGAAGGACAATATGATTGCTGCTAAACAAGACAAAAACATTTTACCCCCTGAGGAGTTGCCTACTTTTCTTAAAAAAAAAAAAAAAACTATACATATTCCCACCACTTTATTTTGTCAAAGGACAAAAAAATTGAGAAAGAATGTACATGAGGATAGTATCACCAATCATGGGACTATACTGGAACTAAAAGGAATAAATTATTCAGTTCATGAAGTTACAAATAGTGTAATGAAACACTACGCCATAGGAAATTATAGAAATTAATTGAAATAATTTACAACCTAACAAGTTTTGATGCTTTTCTGTGCAGTCAATGAGGCGGTGTTAGCTTACAAGCTAACGTTACGTCCGTCTCTAATACAAACCAGATTCAAGCTGATGCCTTGTTCTCTCTGCAGTTCAAGTATACATTTATTTTCCCCTTTTTAGATAGGACAGCTGAAGATAGTTAGGAAGGGGATAGAGAGAGAGGGGATTACACGTACAGGTCCGATTTGAACCCATGGCCACTGCACCAAGGACTCAACATTGGTACCTGCCCCAGCTCTACCAGGTGAGCTACCAGGCGCCTCAGTTCAGGTACATATTTAAGAATTTACAGTAGCTCAATCAGTAATACATTAGTGTGTGTGTGTGTGTGTGTGTGTCGCACATTTTTGTTACCTATTGGGGACCTTTTCTTGCTGACCTTGATGGGACCAGTAGTCCTCATGGGAACCAAGAACTGGTCATATTATGGAAAAACATCATTTCTGAGGTCTTCTGAGTTATGGTTTGGGGCGAGGTATTGAGGTTAGGTTATGGTTAGGTTTAGGGATGCAGTCAGGTTATGGTTAAGGTTAGGGTCAGGGGTTGGGTTGGCTGTCCACAATGAATGAAGTCAATGGAATGTCCTTACAAGTATAGCTGCGCTGTGTGTGTGTGTGTGTGTGTGTGTGTGTAGGTGCTGACTAACCTGTCATTAAGGCAGCAGTAGATGATGGGGTTGTACATGGTGGAACTCATAGCCAGCCACATGATGGCCAGGTAAACCTGCTGGATGAACGTTTTTTCAAACATGTCAGGAAAGAACTGGTGCAGCAGGAAGTAGACGTGGAAAGGCAACCAGCAAATGGCAAACGTACACACCACCACGATCATCATCTTCACCACCTGTTGGACACATGACACCAACATATTTTCATACAGTCATTTTTACTGCTATGCTCCCTCCTCCATTCTGGATTTCACATGTCCATTTATTTTTCAGACTAGATCAGAAAGGCAGAAGGGCCAGGGAATGCAGGGAATGACAAATTGGTATTTCTTTAATATTGCAAAAAGCCTTCATGCTGCCAGAGGTATTACTGATTTTTGTTTATTGTCCAAATGCCAGACATCTAGTACAAACTAGTAAGTATACTTGTTCCATAAATGATATATAATACATAATACATGTAAAACTTCCAACGTCCAATCCCATCAATCACCATGATGTTACGGTGAGGTTTTGTCAGTTTTGTGCTTGCGTTTTCAATCTTGACGATGAGACATGCTGCACTGCATTAATGGTCTCCTCTAAGGACTGAGCATTCACCTTCTCTTCCCTTTAACACGCTTCTCTGTGGGCTAAACAAGTGGCAGCAAATCTTTCCATCCAGAAAAAGCTCAGCTGCTTTGAACTTTCGGTCTTTCAAAATGGAAATCGAATGAACATATGGCACATCATTAGTGCTGTCAATAACAGGCATTGCTCACTGACAATGAATTAAAAATAATGTACGTGGACAGGCATGACAGATCTGTGAGGCTGCCTCATTAGAGTTAGACGTGGACTCGTGTCAGACATGAGTGTGTGTGTGTGTGTAAATTTCATGACAATCCATCCAATAGTGAGACATTTCACTCATAAATCACAACCACATCACCGAAGGGTACATCCGAACCTCTATACAGCATTTCACTGCAATCAGCCAATAGTTGTTGAGATATTTCAGTCTGCAGAAAAGTGGCAGACCAATTGACTGGCCCACATTGCCATCTGTGTTATCATGGCTAAAAGTAGGTAAATAAACAAGTGAATCAAAGCAAGACATGAGGAGATAGAAAATACTGAAAAAAAGTACAATAGGATGAAATATAATGAATATTACAGTTAGCAGAGCCAGACTGAATGTTCACTACAGAGACACCTTAGTAAATATGTCTATGTAAAGTATCATAGGATTCCAACTTCATGTTCTTGAGTCACAAAGGCAAGTCTTTGCAACTGTCTTTATTAGGAGAGTATTGTCTAAGGGACTGCAACACTGAAACTGTGAGCACACCTGACAAGCATGGGCCATGAAAGATGACTGAAAAAGTAACAGGTAGAGGATGCAGAGGATGAGAGCTGATGGCAAAAAACAGAAGACGAAGAGTTTGCGCTGGGCTGAAAAGAATACAGGTTATGTAGACATGAGCATCACAGCCTGTCTGGGGCTGCAGTTTATGAAAGTCCTTGTGCCAAGGTTAAAGTAATCTGATTACTGTAGTTGACAATTCCAAAGCTGCGGGCGGCTATCTAAAATGCAGGTTACCTTGCGTTTGGCAGTCAGCTGCTCCTTGTAGCGGTCGGAAGAGTCTCCAGGGATCTCACTGGCCCAGAGGGTCAGTCCCACCACCAGATAAGCACAACCCATCACCAGCAGAGGAAGGAAGTAGATCAGGACGGCCACACACACATAGTACCTACAACAAGACATATATCCCATTTCACATATAAATCATATACATTGATTGTTTTTGACTCAAGAGAGACCCAAGTTGAGCCTGACCAGAGCTGAGATGTTGGAACCGGAGCTTCCCCTATCTGATTGGATGGTTGTCCAATCACCTGAAAATAAGAATAGTTGTGTTTTTGTTACCTTACCTTTGTTTCTACAGTAGCCCAGAACAAACAATCCAAACACTGGCCATTCATGTTTTTTTGCTAATTTTGTGGCCACAATAGTTTCTCTTCCACTCTTGGAACAGGAGGGTGAGGCAAGGGGATTGCAATCATCAACTCAAAAAACAATCCACAATCAAAACAAAACGAAAAACAACGTACACATCGTATACTCTGTCGTTCAATGTTTATTTCTAACCATCCATTTTCATACTGGTTATTTTAAACATTTGTTCAAACTGACATATTTCCTTTGACTAAAACAATATGGTTGTACATTAGTCCTCACTCATTGCTTTTTGAACATAGTTTTGGAAATTCCTCTCAAATCATATAGACCTTCTCTCTTTATAAACCACTTTTGGATACTTAAGTCAGGTAAGAAAGTCAAACCATAACAGCACATGTTTAATGATGTCATTGTAGGAACATCACAGGTGTTTCTAATAACATCAACAATAGCTCTGCTCTATTCAAGTGTCCAAGTGAGACATTCAGTGCATTTACACGCACTTAAAGGCTGTGCACACCCACGCAGCTGTTACCAATTACTCTAGCTGATTAGAGCTGTAGTCAGGTGGACGTTGGGGAAAGCTACACAGGGAATTATGTGACGTCTGTGTACAAATGAGAATGAAAACAGGGTGAGTTGTCCCACTATAACAGGTAAAAAAATAAATGTCTAGCATAAGTAAAAACACCTGTGTGACTAGACTGAGCAGGATCTATAAGTCACCAGGTTACAACCAGCTTTTTTTGAGTAACCTGGTTATTTAAAACCAGTGGTCCACACTTTTTTCATTATTGTACTCCCTTTGAAATATTGTTTCAACTAAGAACCCCCTGAACAGCGCAGACATTCTATATAAAGAGGTTCAGTATAGTGCTGCACCATCAGTGTGATTTATAAAGAAAAATTTTGCAATAGCACTAAGCTTTGTTTGAAATTGTATTGAGCTTGTGCTTCGCTGAGGATCTTAGTCTGTCTGTGACATGGAAGACATTAACAGTTTACAGCAGTTAATTATTGCATCAAAAATATAAAATATAAAATGTGGTTTCTCGAACTAACATTTACAGTTTATTGAACTTATAGCATAATTATTTTAGGAATTATGCATGACTAATATTTTTTTATATAATATATATTTATATATATTTTCTATATATTTTCTTAAATGTCAAATTTAATGAAAGAATATGAAATCCTATTTTGTATTTGGATGTGAGAAAGCATCGCAATGGCAACATTTTGAAGAAGTTGTCTGAAAGCTTGCTGGAGTGTGGCTACAGACGGACCGTCGAACAGATTCAGTGATGTTGGATAAGTTTGCAGCAGTCTTACCACATGACAAAGAAACGGTCATGAATAGCTGTGATTTGGCTTTGGCTTAAGTTTCTATGCATCATTATAGAGTCAGATCAGTCTCAGTGTTAATGAACAATTCACAAATGTATTTTAGACTTTATATATAAATGACTCTCTACAAAATTACTTGTTGTATATAAATGTAAAACAACTCCATATATAAAATAAGGTTCACAAATGTATTTGTGGTGCACACACACACATTGTTTTAAATAAATGTAGTAATAGAAATCCACAATTATGTATTTAAAAGTATTTGCAATTGTCATTAAAAATACATTTGGATGTTGCTCCATTTATATACAAACTGTTGAATTTGCATTTACAAACTGTATGTGACTTCCCTGCAGTGGCTCAATGCATTTTTTTCAACAAAGAACTATCTTTAGCCTGTGAGATGGCTGTGCATTATATGGTAAAATACACAGAGGAAAGTATCCAGAGCAGATAGCAAATGCTGTTCAGATCAATAAAATTGATTCTGAATTTGTCAGCTGCGAGGAGCCTGGCTAAATGCATTCCTGTCCCAGAGGAGAAAACTGATTATGGAAGAGAAGTTAAATGATTTTACATAACAAAAGAAGGAGAAAATTAGGTAAAATTACATTTGTGCTAAAGGAGCTAATAACTACACTTTGAGGCCACTTTAAAGCATCACAACAAGCTGTAATTACAACATTGACAGATTATTGCTTTATACTTTATACAGTTGCCTTTTTACACATCCAGTGGCTCTAGTTGCCTATGTTCACTATGAGCACCTGCTGGTTACTAACTTTGTCCTTTTGGCACTAGACAGATAGCACACAGTGAGTGTATCAGAGATTTTTTAAATTGAAATTGCACGTTGTTAGCAGCTTTAAAGGTCCAGTGTGTAACATTTAATAGGGTCTATTGGCAAAAATGGAATATAATATAGTGTATAATCACCTAAAAATGAGAATTGTTGTATTTTTGTTACTTAGAATTAGCCAGTTTTATGGCTTTTTTGCATTTTTCATGGCCAACGTAGTTTCTCTTACACGTTTAGGTTGAGTCAAAAGATTTCGGTTGCGATCTGCAATCTCACTGCCAGATGCCACTGAATCCTACACACTGGTTCTTTAACAGTACAGTGCATTACCCAAAATACAGTTAAATGCTTATTTTGGGGGTATTTCAGCTGCAGTGGGCATTTCCTAGTTAACAGAAGGCCTGTAAATCTATTTTTTTTACATTCCTGCCCCTTCAGCAAGTACTAAAATAAAAAGTTACTCAATCGAGTCAAGGGCTGAATCAATCATCATTAGTGTGTTTGCCAGAGGACTGAAAATAATTTAGCTTTGTGACACAATTTAAGATGTGAGGGGCGGCAGTTACTGTCCAATAAATTTCAACTGTTTATGAAATAATTAAATTTGACAGTTTCAGTATTTAGCTAATGATTTGGTCATCTTTCACAGACACAGTGTGTGATCTTGTTAATTCCCGGTTGAGTGTGTGTGCTGGTTGATGTCAGTACATTTGTGTCTTGTAGTCTGTGTATATGTGTGTTAATATCCATTAAAATGTGGAAAATCGTATTATGCCACTCTGAGGTATGTAGATTGAGTGTGTATATTGTGTTTAACTGTGCTCAGGGAGGGAAGACCCCCTGACTTCAGCATCCACAGAGGGACAATCTGTTTTGCCCTCAGTGAACGCTTCAGATAAGCCTCACAGGCCATTTCCATGGCAATTAACTACAATTATGTTAATCCCACTGAATACCCGGGAGCACGGGAGCTTTCATCAGAGTAAAAATGACCACACACTGAGACACACAAACACACACAAACACACACACACTGCAAAGAAGGTGTGTTACCCAGTCAAGGGAGAACATTGCTAGATATCAGAGCCTTGAGTGCTTTATCAAGTTTAGTCTTTAGCCTGAAGGGATATCATCCGCAGTTAAAGCTTTTGAGATAAATCTGAGTTTCCACCCAAAGAACCTGGACTTTTAAGGCCAGAAGCTATTTCTCAAGGAACTAAAAGATTCCTTCAGGCCATTGTTGTCTGCATTTCCACCAAGGTCTAAAGACCTGTGAAAATTAGGCAAATTAATCAGCTGGTGTATGAAAAACCTGCTTTACAACAACAAGGCCTGGACTCCATCGTCAGTTCATCTGTCGAGGCACAATAAACAAAAATACTAACTGGTTTGCAGCAACCCAGTCTCATATAAAAACGTACGAGATGAGGACCGTCCGCTTTGCCATGTGCCCCTATAGATCCAACCAGGTACGCACATGCAACTGTGTATAAACGTCAGAATAATGACTTCACTACTAGTCGGACCTCCTGCAGTATATTCGCCGATCATTTCATCTATGCTAAGAAAATAGCAACCGAATTTGTGGTTTGAATTGAGATATTTGACCTAAGAACCAGGAGACAGGAGCGCGGCCAACTGCTCTGCTCACGTTGA